AAAAAAGATCATGAGTTTATTGCTAAACATTTTTTGAATAAAAAGAACAGAAATAAACGAAAATAAAAATAATGGAATTATTTTTTATAGTGGATTTTTTTCTGGCTAATAAAAATTTATAGACCCGAACCCGGATCCGGACCCGTTGAATTCAAAATCTTCGAACCCGGGCCCGGACCCGATGGGCTCTAGTACTCACTAGCAATAATCACGGAAAAATTCTGAACGGATTTTTGAAAAATTATGGGCTGAGCCCAGGCACCTGAAAAATCCTGGCGCTGCCGCTACTTGCGACTAGTGTACTTCAATCTATGATCTATTTAATGGCAGCAAAAGTTTTGTTTCTAGTATGAAGCTACGTCAGAAAATGCCTAGTCAAAAATTGCCTGAAACACACGGTACTTCGCATAAGTATCCCATACTATTGAAGTGAATGAATTTCAAAACAAAAATAATAGAGATTCTAATCGGGATACCTTAAGCTGTCTATTAGTGGAAAACTTTGTCGATTCAGACTCTGAAGATAGGAAAAAACAATTTTTTTCAACAAGTAATTTTCCGTACAGGTATGATCAATCTACTGAGCACGCACGTTTTACAAAACTTTTCGAAAAAAAAACAAATTTCGAAAAAATTTGGGTAAAGGTCCCCCTCACGAATTTTTGGTTGAAAAAAAACTTTGTCAAAAGAATCTTTTTTTGCTTTGTGACCGTATTTCTCATTGATTTCACAACTTTTTTATTTTTAAACACACTTATCCTACTCTTTTTAATGAACAGAACAACACATATATATGCGAATGAGAAGAGAGAGAAAAAGAAAGGTTTTCTTTTATGAACAAACGAAAGAAAAAAGACTATCTCGCTTGAATAGTGAATACTGCAAAGAGGACATGCACTATATATGAGAACGATACTTGTCCTCAGCATCGTGAGAAATCATCATATGGCCGAAATGTCCTTGTAAGAAGGGCGAACTTAAAGGTTTAAAGTATAAAAATCGGATTGCATATAAAAAAAGGATTATCATGAAGTTTTGGTTCACTCCTGGTGCATTTTATGAGAGAAGTAATTACAAGTCCCGCCACCATAGTGGCGCCATCTATAATTACCCCAAAATTAACATCTTCAGGAGAACACCAAAACTCCATGATAACCCTTTTTTTATATGGGCAATCCGATTTTTATACTTTAAATCTATAAGTTCGCCCTTCTTACAAGGACATTTCGGCCATATGTAATTCTATTAGTGCTTTTGATCTTTTTTTGTTTATTCAAAAATATATGTCACGTTATCTTTTCACCCTTTTCTTTTGTCATTGTTACTCACTCGACAACAGGTTACTTTTCAAAAACATACGACTGACCTATATCCATGAATATCTCAAAGAGATTTTTTACTATTTCTAACCCAACTCATATTTTTCTTCGTTTATTACAACAAAAGGTTGATCAAACTATTCAATTAGATCCTCGTCGGGATTATCTCCGTTTACATGCTAATAATAAGACATATGATTTTCACTATTTTTGGCTTCGTCATAATTGTAATGCTGTTCCACAATCTCGTCATCCATTAACAAATGAACGAATAGTTGACTGTGCACATATTTCACTTGATCTTCCACCAACATCTGTCAAATTAATTGAAGAAAATTCTAAAGTAGAAGTTCAATGGCCACCAAATTATATCACTATAGCACCAATATGTAAAAATTCTTCCTCGTCACTTGTTGACTCACATACAAGTACATACTCTATTGATTGGTTAATATCGAATGCATATGCCGTGGATCGAATAGACAATGTTCAACCAGATTATGGAGATATACGAAAAGTAGAAATTGACTATAAAAATTATATAAATAATAATAATTTAAATGACTATTTTCGTGATTGTTATCAACGTTTAAAACAGTATGGACTAGTAGTGGTAAGAAATAGAGGGTTGGACACAGAAACAGTTATGTGAGTTAATTTATTCAGTATATCTAACCAATGTCCATTACAACATTTTACATTTTTTCTTGCTCTAGTCGTGATTTTTTGCCCGATAATTGTCATGTTTTTGAGTCACATTTTGGTGTTATCGAAGATCTTCGAACTGATAATAAAACAAATAAAAATACCGATCAGTTAGGTTACACAAATTCAGCTGTCGATTTACATACTGATCAGCCGTTTATTGATAATCCACCAGGTAAGATAGTTTAATTCTTTTTACTCAAACTATTCTATGCTTATATTTTAGGAATGCAAATGCTCCAATGCATTCAGAAAGCAGATATCGGTGGAGATAATCACCTAGTTAATTCTCACAAAGCTGCACTCTACCTCCGAGAAATAAATCCTGAAGCTTTTTATTTACTATCAACTGTAGCAGTAAAATTTCATCGAAAACAAAAACAATTTGAAAGTCTTCATGTTGGACCAATAATTGAATTAGAAGAAAATGGTAATGATATTAAAAAAGTTCGACATAGTTATTTTACATTTGCTACATTTCAATATCCATTTTGGTTAATGAATAGTTTTTACAAAGCCTATCAAGCATATTCAACAATATTAAAGGATGAAAAATATACATTTAACGTGTTATTAGAGAGTGGTGATTTTTTACTCTATGATAATTATCGAATGTTACATGCAAGAAAAGAATTTCAGGGAGAGCGATTTATGAGAGGCATCTATTTTAATCATGAACAGGTATGGACAAAATTGGAGTTTGAAATGAACAAAAAATAGGATCTGTAATGTTCTAAAGATATATATTTGAAATAATATAATCACTATCGCTATAATAATATAGGTTTTTCGTATTTTGATCTCCTAATCTGCTTATATGAACTGGCATTTTAATGACAGACTGAAAGTGATTTAAGTATTTTGAAAAAAAATTGAATGCGTAGGTTTTCTTTTTATTGAATATTTGAAATATAGATAAAATATAAGGGATAAAATTAATTTCACCCAGAAACAGGCCCGTAGCCAGGATTTTGCTAAGGGGGGTGCACAATAGATGTAAATCGATATACTAGTCTCCTTGCATTTTATTTTTGGATTGTACCGGTTCTGATTCCAATATAGCCGTCTGTGCGACAACGATTGATCCAGAAAACTAACAGAATGCAAAAGGATTTTTACACCAGTTTGCATCAATGAAGCGCGCGAAAATAATGTAGATATCTCTAGCCAGAACACATTTAAGTAACTTTTTAGGGATTGGTAAAATATTCTTTTGTTCTCATTCACGCTGTTTCCTAGAGGCTATCTCAAAAGAAAGTATGCTGTGCGCCTAATTACACATCTGTATTTTATCGACGATAGAGAACAAACAACTGGTTAACTAAGTAAATGTGAGAGAAAAATAGTTCTGCTCATTTGATGTTGAACTTGATACTTGTCTTTGCAGAAAATGTTGATAACATCTTCCACGTTTAAGTTCAGTGCAACATCACGATGAACGTGAATTAAAGCAAGATTGCTCAACCGTCCATCATCAATGCTATTAGCAGTTTTTACTTATGAGGTGTACCTGGGCACCCCGGGGGGGGGGGGGGGGGGGGGGGGGGGGGGGGGGGGGGGGGGGGCGGGGGGGGGGGGGGGGGGGGGGGGGGGGGGGGGGGGGGGGGGGGGGGGGGGNCCCCCCCCCCCCGCCTGGTTACGGGCCTGCCCAGAAAATTGCTGAATTGGAGTATTCATGTCATTTATTAAGGATAAAAATGTTAGTATAAGACGTACCGAACATTTCATTCTCATTTATAGTCAGAACGAGTGCAACGGACTTATGTTTGGTTTGAATCTATTACGATTTTTTCGAGAACAACTAATTATAATAGGACTGTTCAAATGCCATGGGATTCAGGCCGATGAATAAAATTCATCGGCCTGCAAAATATTTTTGATTTTGGTCCACTGGTTGATTTTTTATGAAACAAACAGTGATTATAACGAACCTACAAAAAAATAGAAGTAAGAGTAGGCTCAGTCCGAAACTCTTAAGATTTTTAGCGAACTATTCGTTTTTTCTAAGATTATAGCTGACGTCGGAGACTATTTATATATGAAAACATTTTCCTCAAAATATTGTCTAAGTTTGACTGTAGGTAGAAAAGAAAGAAAGTGTAACGGATTGCGCAGCTTTTCTCTGACGTTTCCTTCTCTCGCACTTAAGTGGACGTTATAGTAGAGACTTATTCTATGACAATCATAACCGAGTTCGAGTTTAAACATAATTATTGGCTTTTGATGTTTCGGGCTTGCTCTTGTGATCTTTGAAATATGCTTTACCAAAAAAGATGCACTGAACTTTTATTGAAACTTCTTTCGTCGAAAAATATTACATCAAAAATGAGTTTATTAAAAAATTTTCTTGATGAGTTCAGATCTTCGTGTCAAATGTAATCATGTGTAGTAGGCGAAGATTCACTTTGACAATTAGACTTTTGTTGGAGTTTTATCAAACAGTAATGTCTTTTATATTGCTTTCCTCCCTCAGGAAAAAACACATGCGAATACGTGTTGCATTTACGTATTCTCCAATATCAATAGTCTACATCCAATTACTTCATGTATCCTGTGGGAGTGAGCGAAAAGCAGAAATGATTTTTCTACTAATCGATGGATGAGATTTCCGAATCAAGATAAACGAAGCAGAGAAGATCAATAAAAATCAAAAATATGATCCAATAGTTTGAACAGCGCTCATCCGAAACTTCTTATACTTAAACAAGAAATATCTACGTTTGCATGATGCTCAGAGCGCAGGATTACCATATCGTGGCTTACTCTCACGCAACACAGAGAACCTTGACGGTTCCAGTGTTTAAAAAGTCTCACAGTCCCTAAGTATCAATGCCAAAATGATTTTTCGACTATTACACGTATGACCATATTTGACACAAAGATCTGAACTCCATCACTAAGACAAACTTTTGATGAAATGAATTTGACGAACGAAGTTTTGATGAAAGTTCGCAGTACCGCCAGTTATATATTGACGGAATTTATGACTAGCGTCGTTTAAACTTGATGTCTCTGAATTATCCTAGATGTTCTTGGATATTTTTCTCAAACAGAGACAAGTCTGTAGCTAATAACCTAACTTTTACTATTAAGAATCAAATCATAGTCAAAGAAACTTCTGTTATTCTTCTCAGAGTGCATCTATCGTCGCTCTACTTGCAGTGAACTCGGAATGTAACCGGTACCGGTCCAATCAGATATGTCTGACCGGCCGAGAAAAAAAATTTTTTTTCGTCTGAAAAATCAGTACTTTGTCGAAAACGAATTTGTTGCCCTAAGTAAAACAAAGGTTTTAATATTTCAGATTAAGAAAGTTAGTTTGGCTTTCTCTTTTTTGCCAACAGTCTTCGAGAGCAAGGCTGGTAATCGCTACTATGTAAATATTCGGTTCGTTTTTCTTTCTTTTTTGATGTTTGCTGCAGTGCTATCGGTGCCAAAATAGAAGACCGGTGATTATTTTTTGAATAACTCAAAAGGAATAAAACACAGAGACTTGCGATTTTCATCATTCCCTAGCCAAGATCTGAAGCTGTGTTTTCATAAGCAAAAACAATTTTAGAAAAAATTTCAAAGACCATTTCCCAGCAGATTTATGGAAAACCAGTTCGGTTTTCTGAAAACAGACATAGAAATCTATAGATTTTTTTCATAAATATACAGTCTGAAATGTCCTCGACAAAACTGGATCCAAACCACATCTTGAAAATCCATGGTTCGAGAGCTATGGACGTTTTTCCTGGAGCCTTAGCACTCCTCTGCCGTTAGGTTTTTACATTCACACATTCACGCCAACTCACTCTTTCACGCACAGCCAAAGACAGGAAAAAAACACAACAAACAGAAGGAATTATTCTTGCATATGCAATGCATATTGTTGTCGTCTGAGAGCTATATGTAACTTATTAAAGGTGGCACCTTCAGTTCGATTATCTATATATGTCACAGGGAATGTAGGAAATCTGAGAATGTGCACATTCCCTGACATTTGTAGGTGTACATTCTATCGCGTATTCTATTATATCCTAGGTAATATTCACATTCCTTGATAGTGTTCAACAAATTTGAGTATATGACATTGAAATTTCTCTTGAAATGTAATAAATTTGATGAATTATGTGACGTCTGAAGTTAGAGCAACGAAAAATCGTAAATTTGGTAATCTACTATCCATTTCAAAACAGAATGGAAAGAAGTATTTTTTGAATAACTTTTTAACGGAGAGAGCTAAAGCCAGCCGGTTCTCAGTAGTTAATAGAGGAGCTACTGGGAAAGAAATCTATGAACAAATTAGGTCTTCCGATCAAATCTACCATGGTGTACCTCGTCGAAAGTTAAGTTAGATTATTGTTCTGTCGTTTATGATAGTGTGTATTGGAAAGAAAAGTTGGTATAAAGACTTTCGAGCACGACGACATTAAGACTTCAGAATTTGTCTTAATACAGATTAGATTCACTAATTTATCTTTTATGATTTAAACAAACACACTCCAATACCAGTTCTTCTGGTGCTCACAAACACAGCAAAAGAGAATACTCTTCAGATCGTTCTAGTATTTTAGAATATAATCATTCTGTTGCTTCCACTACTAACAGATGAGAGTCTGTGTCGTGTTGTTTTGGTAGTAGAGTTGATAAGTTGATACTTCCTAGACATGAAACAACTTTTTGCCTTTTTAGTACTCTTGTTGTCAAAATAAGCATCAAATCAAATCTAATTATGAGCTCATTTATTTTCAGACGTAAAAGACAGTAACTTACGTATACTCTTACGCATAGATATTTTACGAATGTAAAATTTCCAAGTAAAAGGAATGTTGACTGGGTAATCACATCTATCATATAGAAAGAATATATTTCCACAGCAAAAAATTGTTATTTCTATGCGATATAAAACTATATAGCATTCTAACCTGTAGCGGAATGTAAAGTGGTACTTTAGTGATGGTATACAAAAGTTAATTTATTTAGTTTTTGATTTTTATTAATGGTATAAAGAAGTCGATGTTATTAATTTAACAACTTAAATATATGATAGACGTCTAATTTAGGTGAAAAAACCTGTTCCGGTATTTTCGAATCGTTCAGACTTAAATGCTATAGTTTACACGAATTGATCCTGAAACAAAAACTTGTGTTTTTTCTAGGTATCATAATTTTCAGAGTGAGTTTTCTTGTTCTTATCAAACGTGAAAAATGCATTTGAAAAGTCTTTGTAATCGTAATTATGTCTATCATCGTGAATACTATGCTAATATAATAACGATCAATATGAATCACATTTATGATAAAAAACAATTCTGCAGTTCTTCTCCGTGCATCAAAACCTTTTTTTAGCATTATTCATCATTTTCTAAGATCCCTACATTAGACAAACTCACTCATCATGCTAAAAACTTATACAAAACAATACTGGACAAATATTAAAGTCACAATAGCTCTAAATAAAACAAAGTAATAAATTTCTAATTGCATATTATTCATTATCATAAACACCGGTGCGCTTATCAATATAAAATTTGTACAAAAAAAAACAAAATATTCATCAAAGAATTGATGAATAAGCACGTTAATGATACCACAGACGTAATATTCAGCATTATTGGGGAGGTATTACATACCATAGTGAGAAAGTAAGAGAGAGGAAGACTAATTGAAACTATAATTTTCTGGTGCTTGATATGTTGGATTCCATGACAAATTAATATCACTGAGTATTACGGTTGGTTGCCGTTGGAGTGATTTGAGTCCTTTTCGTTTCATTCTTAATAATTTGGATACGGATAATGGTGGCAATTTAAGAGCAGGTGTTTTCATGGCTAAAACACTGTCTTTGAATAATTTTTCGTTAACATTGATGCTCTAAAAAAACGCACAAACAATTATCATTATCTATAGATTTTGAAAACTAGGTATTAGGTTAAAAGTCAAGTTTGAGATTCAAACAACTTCAGTCTTTGTGAATGTTAAAAACTCACTCAATTATAAACTATGAATGTGATCTTGGTGATTTAATCATGGTGCATAGGTCAATATGTAGTTTTATTAATAAAAAAATCATTCTTTCTGTGTTTCATCTTTTACTAATAAAACAACACTTTGTATATAGTGTTTGCTCGTTGGATGTAAACAGAGACATATGTTCTGTTTTTAAAAAAACTAATTCATTTCTACGAAAAAGTGTTGGATATTCTTCATGGCTCTCTTCCATGAATGTCTTCTTCTCTAGCATAGGCGATAACATCGGTGTGGTGCTAGAACTCAGATGACATATTTTGAAAATATAATTTTAAGATTTTCTATTATTTATATCAGATGAATGCGGAAATCTCATATAAGATGAGACGTCATACTTTTTAATTGGTATTTGTGGGGAAAGGGTGCAAGAAGCATTGTATAGTTGAAGTCGAATAAGCTTTTTTTTCTTTCTTTCCTTTCTAGAGTATTGAAAGCATATAGAAGGACAAATCAATTTGTGATGCAGTAGAAACACAATCGTTTTAAAGAAGTTATAGCCATAGTCTGTGAAAAAAGATTGCTTTGAAAAAGAGACAAGAAGCATCTGTATATTACCGAGAAAAATTTGAGTCGAACTAAAAACATGATCATCTTTGCACAATTAAAAATGAAGAAGAAAAAAAATAGAAAATTTTTCGCGAGATTTCCGCAGGTGATAGTGTGGCAAAATACGTGACTGTAGTGAATTTGCTTGCGATTCTACAGTAAGTCACCGTAAATCTTGTCATTCTTGTTGGTACACTGGGTAGATTTGACCGCTGTGTTTGCCATGTCAGAGGACGATTTTCTGGCAACTATTTATAGTTATACATCATTATGCATCAACGACTTCTGTTTTGTTGAATTATAGTTTTAAACATGAACACTCACCTTTTTCGTTGAAGTGGTATCGACTGTTGTGGCTAAATACAAAAAATGTTCTATGATCAATAAGAAAGTAAACCTAAACAAAAAAAACTTGAATAGTTTTCTACCTCTTTTTTCTGTTCCATTTGGACTTGGTGATCTTTTGCATTCTTTTTTATGGAATGTATTCCATCCAGTAACTTTACATGGTTTTGAACAAAATGCTACTTTATTACATCGGTTACAATTTGTTAGACGAACACCGGTACTTCGACCACAATTAGCACAATAACGTAATTCAGTTCCTCTATAATATAAATCGAAAAATTTAGTTAATGTAATGTAGACGTCTATTAACTCGTACTTGAATTCACTGGCAACGTCTGCTTGCGACTGTAAACTGGATTCTGGTTGTATAAACATGACAATGCTTGGTGTTCTATCTTGAAATAAATAAAACCGGAATTAATAATAGTTCACCATCAGAGATACGAATACCAACCAACAGACAGAATAGAAACTGGTGTGGATAATCTTAATAGATTTTCATGTGTAACCGCTTCTTCACGAAAACGTTTAGCTATAAATGCTAATAATTCTTTTCGATCATTATAAACCAATCTTTCTGGATTATTTAACGAATGATAGGGAGTATGAGCAATACGATGATCCTTAAATCGAGAAAAATTTCTCTAAAATTTGAATACCGATATGTCTGACACTTACTGTAAAAAACATGTGATAAGCATAATCTACAACAGAACCAATCGTTCTTTTTGGACCAAAAGTGACCGGATACAAAATTTGAGGATTTTTTTCGATTAAACGTTCAATCTAAAGCGGAGCAAATATCAAAGACGATAAATTAAGACTATCCACTAAATTAAGTACCCACCAATTGTATTCGTTTTTGAAATGGCCATTTTTGTTCGTACAGCGTTGAAAGTATACTACATAAAGCATTTCCATTTCCCCATCCGAGTGCTATTGATGGATCTGTATTAGGATGTTTCAAAAGTAAATCTACCACAGGTTCATTCCCATTTGCTATTGCCAAAGTGAGTGGACTTTGTCCATTACAAACTGCATTTGGATTAGCATTTGAGTTTAACAAAAGACGTACAATTTCAACAGATAAAGAGTCAGTTCGCGAACAAGCAATGTGAAGAGGTGTACGTCCAGATGATGCAGCAACCTTCGCTGAGTGCATATCGATTAGAATCGGATCGGCCATAGTCAAATATTCCGTTCCACATTTCGTTTCTGCTGTCGCATAAGCGCCTGATTGAATTAACACTTTACAAATATCTAATGCTTTCTCCGACATACATCCACATGCAATGTGCAGAGCAGATAATCGAGCAAAACGGTCACTTATTTTACAGTTGACATCTGCTTTTTTCTTTAACAGAAGATTGACCATATCTAAATCACCAGCTCGTATAGCAAAACACAACACGGGAAATGGCCAATCACTCAATGTTGGATCAGCACCGCGGCGTAACAATAACCTAAAGAGATATGCGATAGAAATGATGAGGTAAAGCTAGCGTCTACATACACTGACAAATAAATTCTTAAATGAATGCCACAGATTCTATAAGAATATATGTTTTACGTAGCAGTCGTTTAGGAATTTATTTGACGATTACTTAATACTGCTCTTCCTCCTTCGTTTTTATTTACATACATGATTGTGTCATAAATTGATTGCCTAAATGTTTCATCTTTGATTTTGTTGCGTAGTTCCGATGTTATTTCATAACCATAGGATGGTGGTAATTGACTATCAAAATCTAAGACAAAACTACGTTAGCTGAAGTGGAATTCTTCTTATCTTCGTAGATCTTACCAGATGTTTGTTTGACTGGAGCTGACTCATATTGTACTATTTGTTCTCGATGTGAATTTAATGACGTATGAGTTTGTTCTGGAGCTGGTCTCAACACAGTAGGATCACGATGCTCAAGTGCAATATTTTGCATTGTATCATTGGCATAATATTGAATAAAACAAAACATTAACGGTGTCAGACAGCTATCAGTCATTTGATTCACATTTGCACCAGAATCAAGCAAAAAATTAATTACTGGTATATGAATTTGATACTAGAAGAGATTTATAGTGATATATAGCGATACACTATTATAGCTGTTTTTACACAACTTACTGAACTCATATGAAGTGCAGTGTAACCGTGATCGTCACTAACATCAACAAATGCTTGTTTTCTGTTAACAATATCACGAACTTCTTTTAACATTCCACGATAGGCATATTCAATAAGATTCAACGACGCTTGTTCAAGTGGACCACCTGGTAAAAATTGATCACGATTATCTAAAAAAAGACGAGATGTATCATTAAATCACCTAGATGTTCGTATGAATCTACTTGTAGCAATCTGCTCCATTGCCACGTCTGAATATTGTCTTAACGGCCAAAATTTATTTGTATAATAATATAAATCTCTTATTTCTGGTGTTAAATTTGGCATTTCCACATAACGATCATCTGTCAGACACTCATCTTCATATTCCACGTCTTGTCTTTTCACATTTTTCATACTATTCAAATAAGTATTTAGCGAGTCATGTCGATCTTGTAAAGCTTGATCGATAAATACTCGATGTTGTTCGAAATATTTTGTATATTTATCAATTGAATCGACAAATAGTGTCTTTGAATGATGGTCTAATATTTCTTCGTGTGAAAACCAAGAGCGAACTTTGATTGTTTTTGAATATTGAACAGTGATAGTTATATCGAGTGTTAAAGATGAATTTGTACATAAACGAGCTAAATCATTTTCTAACCAATAGCCAACTTCTTCATTCTGAGAGTTTGTATATGATACAATACCAGGACCAAAACGTTCGTCATCACGATATAAACCCTACAAGGAGATAAAATAAAATACCACATCTATCTTTATTAGCTTACAACATTTACTTTAAATGCAGAGTGAGTTGGTATCTCAAACGAACCAAATCCATGTCTTTTATCGCCATAGAAATGTCCAGTAAAGGTTCGTCCATCTGCCCATGTTAATGTACCCTTGCCATGTTTCTTATTTTGATAAACATCACCATTGTATTTCTAAAAGGAGAATGATAAACTTATTTTTTGAAACTAACAATGTAGATGTACTTACATAGTCAACTATCGGATCATTCACTGGAGTTTTTGCATTTATTCTTTTCTTCACAGTAGCATCTGTATCGACATTGTCCGCATCAGATAAAAGATCGATTCTTGCTATTTCTATAAATGTAGAAAAAGTACCGTTTGACACAACTGTAAATATTCATCTAATGTGTAAACATGTAGATCTGCACGAGTAAAAAACGAGTTGTGCTTTAAAAAACATTTAAGTTTTCGAGACAGGACTAATTACAAAAAATTGTCGACAATATAAATTACAGCGTAGAATCTGCTCTTCAAAACAGTATATTCCAAAAGTTTAATTACCTTTCGATCAAGAAAAGAACCAGTTATTAACTGAACAATTAACCGCAGTTAACTGGTCAATAAAATTATCATATTTTTTTAATCGAAAGGTAATTAAACTTTTGGAATATCTTATTTTGAAGAGCAGATTCTGCGCTGTAATTTATATTGTCGACAATTTTTTGTAATTAGTCTTATCGAAAATATAAATACTTTTAAATTACAGTTCATTTTTCTTCGTTATTAACTAGTACAAGTCTATAAACACGTACCTTTCATATCCGTTGAGTTTCGAATAATATCACCGACAAGAACTTCAGTCGATTGATCGCGAGTAGTGACCATTTTTCTATAAAAAGAAAAAGAAAAATCGTATATCATAAGTATGTTTTAATTGTAGAAATTTAGAAGTTTGGAGATTAACAGAAGTTTGAGTGAGCAGTGTATCCAAATTCATAGTTTTACAAACAAATGATAAGGTGATCAGAAAAGAAAAGATTCTTTAATGAAGAGAATAATATTCTATCGCTCTCTTTTAGATGTCGAAGTTTTCCCATGAATTATCGAGTATGAGACAAAATTTCTGTAACATATTGATCAGCTTTTGCTTTTTCTATTAGCAACCATTGACAATTAGTATTCCTCGTTATACTTAACATTCTAAAGCAGTTGTTTTTTTGCTTCCAGAAATATAAAAAAAAAAAACAAGGAAAAAAAACAGCACATTCCATCCATTACTCTGGTTTTCCCTTCATCGTATCTCAGCAACATCGACAGATTCTGATGATTTTTGGAGTGTATAGATGGCGTTTGTTACCTATAATCATGGTACTTAAACGAAGAAAACTTATAATATAAGTATAATAGATCTATGAGAAAAAATGTAAAACTGTATTCAACAAGTATAACTGAGTGTTTATGAGCGTCAGTTTGATAGATTCTTCGACAAAATACCGACGTGACACATTCTGTAATATTTTTGTTTCACTACAAAACTGTTATTTCACCTACGTCCGATTGGTATTAGATCACTGAAATCTTTTAGTAACGGATGTCGAAAATGTATGTAAAAATTAAAAATAAAATTAGACATATTTGATGGAGAAATTCAATTATTAGAAAATGTAAGCGAAACTGGTAATAAATAAATAAAATTAGTGATAAATTAAAATTACTGAAAACAAGGGATTAGTTAATCGGGTAAATCACAGCGTTGATTCTGCATGAAGTTGGGGAAGGGACGAACGGGTGAAACGATTTCCAAGATAGAAAAGTTCATCTGGATTTTCAAATAACTTTATTGGCTATTCCTCTTTTGTTCAAATGAGTTGTTTCTCTTCTGCTAAATCAATACATTTAATAAGCTTAAGAGTACTCCTTCCTCTTTTTTGACCCTCTTAAAAACAGGGGAAACCGATGTCGGATCGGGGTGAAATTTATACCAGCGATAGAACATCGAAAAAGAAAATCGATGCCCAGAATTTTTGAACGTGTTCTTCTGTGAGTTTTCTGAAAAATTCCAGTTTTCATCAGTTCTCATTACGACCCCTCGAAAAAATGGTCCGATCGAGCTCAAAATTTTACAACAGATACTTTAAACCCTATCTCAGGTTAATTTTTTTTCTTTTCAAAAAATATCCTTTCCTTCTCGAGATATCTAAAAAATGCTGAAAATCAGAAAAAAAAACTTGAAAAAAACTGACTTTTTTCGCGTGACTACATTTTTATTATAAAGAATGGAATGTTTGTTGAGAATCTTATAAAAATGAAGTAATCTGAAGTATTTACGTCTTTTATATAAATCTGGTAAATTTAATTCCTCTATTAATTCAGAAACAGCACACATGAAATGTATTTATTGTAATGTAATGCGCGAATTATATTTAAATAGTTTGATGGCTCTAGAGCCATCAAACCTTTTAAATATAATTTGTACAGCCAATTTAATAACAGAGTGAATGCGAGAATTATAATGAGGAAATTTAGTGTCGTAAACAACCGAACAGTAGTGTAATTTATTGAGAATGTATGCCTTGAAAACAGTTAACCTCACCAAGACCGGTGCATCTTTAAAACTTCGGTACATGGCACCTAACCTTCTACGACAAGCCAAAATAAAATCCTCAATATGATCTACCCAATGTAAATTAGAAGATAAACGGAGACCGAGTAGCACAGTAGAGTACTCTCGGTTAATAAACGAGCCGTTCACTGATAGTGTAAAATTTGTATGTTTGAGACTTATGAGTAAAGAGTAATCAAGAACATTTATTATAATTTAATTGCATTAAATGAGAATCATACCACACTTATACGATCAACATTTTCTTGACATACAGAAGACGGGAAAATAGCTGAAAGAGGGCATAAAAGTGAACAATCGTCAGCAAATAGAGCCGCTGATGCAGGTAGTAAACTTGTAGATGGGAGGTCATTGATAAAGATAAGAAAAAGTAGTGACCCAAAGATTGAGCCGTGAGGCACACCAGATGAACAGGGACCTTTTCTGAAAAAGAGTATCTGATACGCACCCGCTGGGTACGATTGGATAGATCAACAGAAAATCATTGAAATGCTGAGCCTGTTACCCCCAACGAAGAAAGTTTTGTCAAGAAAATCTGATGGAGAACGCGATCGAAAGCTTTCTCGAAGTCCAATTGTACAAGAATAGTATCAATTCTCTCATTTAAAATAAACTATAAGAGTGCTGTGTCTACATCCGGGTAATAGTAAAACATGAAGACACCCACAAACAGCACACAGACATCCACAAACAACCCAAAGCGGCTACACAGACATGCACGGACATTCACTTCTGCAGACGTAGAAGTGGATGTCTGTGTAGCTGCTGTGGGTTATCTGTGTGCCGTCTGTGGATGTCTGTGGGTGTCTTCATGTTTTACTATTACCCGTCCACATCCTCAATTTGAAAAAAAGAAGATGTAATGTTCAAAATAGATTTTCCCAATCACACTTATGAAAATCACGTTTATAAAGAAGACGTAGGCTACTCAAAATAAATATATTGGGAAAAGAAAACTGTAGTAAATAATGATACAATTTACCAAGAGCATCTGACAGACAAGAATCCGGCGTCGACCATTCTGAAGGATAAAAGCTATTATCTAACGGGTGGCGCATAATAAACGGGACACTTTTGTTCTTTATTTTTAAGGTACTTCCGAACGATCTAAAAATCTGGTTCTAGTCTCATTCGATAGAGAATTGAATTCTCTACAGAACCTGCTATTTGAATCTCTCATAGCATTTTTCTCGTTTGAGCACCACTCAAAATATTGAATAGTGCTAAATTCTCGAACTGCGACGTACTTTTGTCATATGCTTTTTTGAGATTTCTATCCCATTGTCTGAGGCTCAATAGTTACTTTTTCTAGGTAGAAAGATAGAGAATTTTGTGCTCTATCGATCTCACTCATTTATAACTTCATACAATGT